GTTGCCCTCCACTGGACTCTTTCCAATTTTTCCACATCCTTCTTGTAGCATGGGGCCCAAAACTGGACACAGTACTCCAGATGAGGCCTCACCAATGTCGAATAAAGGGGAACGATCACGTTCCTGGATCTGCTGGCAATACCCCTACTTATACAGCCCAAAATGCTGTTAGCCTTCTTGGCAACAAGAGCACACTGTTGACTCATATCCAGCTTCTCGCCCACTGTGACCCCTAGGTCCTTTTCTGCAGAACTGCTACCTAGCCATTCGGTCCCTAGTCTGTAGCTGTGCATAGGATTCTTCCGTCCTAAGTGCAGGACTCTGCACTTGTCCTTGTGGAACCTCATCAGGTTTTTTTTGGCCCAATCCTCTAATTTGTCTAGGTCCCTCTGTATCCGATCCCTACCCTCCAGTGTATCTACCACGCCTCCCAGTTTAGTGTCATCTGCAAACCTGCTGAGAGTGCAGTCCACACCATCCTCCAGATCATTAATAAAGATATTAAACAAAACTGTCCCCAGGACCGACCTTTGGGGCACTCCGTTTGAAACCGGCTGCCAACTAGACATGGAGCCATTGATCACTACCCATTGACCCCAATGATCTAGCCAGCTTTCTATCTACCTTACAGTCCATTCATCCAGCCCATACTTCCTTAACTTGGCGGCAAGAATACTGTGGGAGACCGTACCAAAAGCTTTGCTAAAGTCAAGGAATAGTTATCTGGTATTAAAATCGGGTCCTTAAAGGTGGGTAGAAGCCTAGTAGTGAGATGATGTGCACCCTCAACTCTGTGACTCCAATGAGTAGAGGCCTTTGTTACCCCCCAGGCTGGGCCCCTAAATGAGGATCTACCCATAGGCACTTTATTTTTAGGTGTAGCTACTCTAAGGAGCAAAATCTACCCTCAGCTACACACACAATTTTCGCTGCTGCCACTGGACACTGCATGCGCATAGCTGATGGCAGAAATTGACTGGAAGTGATTTACAAAGGTTCTTGCATGGTTTGCTTTGGATCGTTATTTTACAGGCACTTTATCGTCCTCACACCTGTACGCTCTGGCATGCTTTGAAAAAGACATTATCCCAGCTGCTTGTCCCGAACGTGAAAATCCTAAACAGTGCTTGAAAGGCTATTGAAGCACCTTTTGTTGTTTTGTACACAACGTGTAATCAATCCTACATTATTAAATTCCATGTAAACGTACAACTCTTTACAAAAACATAAAAAGACACTGACGTTCTAGCCCTACCGCCTATATCAACAAGAAGCCACTTCTAGTCTAAATACACATTAACTAGCTTGGATCCAAATTAAATAAAAAGCTGAATTACAAGCATGTGAGATGGTTTTGTGTGTGACTGATTCTCTTCCAGCCCAAGGCCACGCTTTAGACCTTCGCAGTGTCTTGTGGTGGTGGCGGCTCTGCTGACTGTGTTTCGAGGACTGAATATTTAACTGGAGGGGGAAAAAAGAATCACCATGAAGACAACAACATATTAAAGTCTTAAAATACAAGGAGTCAATGGTGGGAGGTGCTCTGTGGCCTTGGGGAAAATCCTTTCATCTTTGTGCCTATGTTTTCCCATCTTTAAAACAGGGATGATGCCTTCCTTTTGTAAAGTACTTCAAGAGCCATAGATGACAAGCACAGTGGCAAAGTATTAAGGCCCATTGTTTGCAGGATCAGGCTCTGAAGCCCCTGGATTTATAAATCTCTTTCGTGCATGCAGTAAGGAAGCAAACGCTGCTGTGGATGTTTTATGGCAAGTGGCAGCGTCATCCGTTATATTTGCTATGACTTGCTTAACAGAGAGAGGAAGGCCTGGCTGACGTGTGAGACACTTACAATGGGGACATGTACTGATGTTGAGCAGGAGTTGCGAAAGCCACCGTTCAGAAAGATTAAGAGCGGTGCCAAAAAAAGCTCTCACCTTGAGGTTCTTCAGTTACAACAGCTTCTGTGTTTTCTCCTTTCACGTACTCTGCGTTAAGACCCTCTGTGAAGTGATGATAAAGAGAGTCAGATGGGGAAGGAGACAGTAAGGTATAGTTCTCACCAAATGCTAAATTATGCAGAGGAATCTTACCAACGCGTGGGTAAAAGAAGCGGTCTAGAGCAAGCCTGTGTTGTTTATGAAGCAAAACCGCACTGAGGTTCCCAAACTTGTGGGAGGTCGGGCTTTAAATGCAAAACGTTTTCAACGTTTGAAGCAATTAGTAAGGCTCTTCGTTTCAGTAGCACATCATGCTAGGCTGGGAGCAGAGGTAGGGTGGGGAAGCCAAGCACTGTTGTGAATAAACTGAGGGAGCCAAACTCATCATTGGCAACAAGCCATTGAAACTGCCTTGACTTCAGTGGCGCTGGGCTCACTTCCACCAATCTGGCCCAGGATCTCCTACTTTCAACAGGCTAGAGGTACAGGGTAGGGCAGAGAGGAGCCAGCCACCGCCGCCTGGCACTTCACCACCCTTGCCTTTCTGCCCTTTTATTCACAGTGCATGTGGGAATAGGTCAGAGGCATGACATTGCTGCAGCCCCTACCTGCAACATCTTAGGGCTCCGTTGATTTCAATGGAGCATCCCCTTCGAATACCAGGACAGAAATACCCCAGGAAGTCCAGCAGTGAAGGGGTTACTTACCGACATGTTTTCTTTAGGCATAGTCATTCAGTGCTACAGTTGTGTGTGTGTGCAACATGCATGTGTGTGTTTGTGTGTACACACACATTGTACACGCACCTTACAGGCTTTTGCTGGGAAGTGAGACCTGCTATGAGATCGCAGCTACCCACCTACTTCTGCTCATCTCTGGTCTAAAGAGGACACTCTTACTATTTCATACCCCCACACACACTTCACATTCAGACAGTTGATTTGCTTTTCTGCTATATACAAGCTCAGTTAAGGCGTATTTCATAAGAGCGCTGCAACAACCCCCCTGCAGCGGAACAGTGACGGGCAAACTGAGCAGCTTGCACTGGGAACAGAGTTGCAAGGGAGGAAACTGTGCCAAACATGCTCAATTGGGGGGGAGGGGGAGGAAACGGGGTAAAATGAGGGTTTCAAGGCTTAAGCAGGAGAGCAAACTGGGTGGAGATGCAAGGCCCGTTTTACCTTGCCCCTCTGCCGCTTTGAACGATAACATACAAGTCTTAGCACGGAACACAGCCTCTGGAACAGAACTCACACAACAAGCCAAGCTACACCCTACGGCCCTGGCTGCATTATAAACGTTCACCCAGTTTGTAACCAGGTGCTGCTGTCATTTGTGTCCACGCACAACATGGTCATTACATGATGTAGGCTGGGATCCGGCTGTAATACTGATTTTAACAGTAGGAAGACCCCTCTAACCATACTTATGTTACCAGCTTGGCCAGCCTTCCTTCCTCCCAGCGCCCTATGGCAGGCCAGCCCAGAGCATTGCTTCTTCTGCACGACCGCTAGGCAACACGGGCCAGCTAGCCATCTGGTCCTGGAATGCAGGGGTGGGGGGGGAACCACAGTCACGGCTGGAGACACGGTTGTGTTATGAAAAAAAGCTTCTGTGTGGCTACAACTCCATCCTGTTCATTGGAACTGGATCTACGCCTGTCACACTGTGTGTACTTAGTATAGACGAGGTGTCACGTACAGCAACTAACAGCATGATGAGCGCAGCTGGGATTCAGAGTAGGAAAATAATTCAACGGGGCCTGCTAGGCGTGGCTGAGTCATTTCAAAACAACAGTGAGGTCACAGCGCAGGAGTCGCGCTGCTGAATGTGAAAGGCATGCCTGGGCTACTGTTTAACAATGGTTTGAATCCACATCAGGGTTAGCCACCCTGACAACCAGGACAGCAGACCCCCCAGAGGCTTCATAGTTTTGGGCAAAGTAAATTCTGGGGGCTGGTCGGACACTGTGCGAGGAACTAGTTGCTTTATTGGCCTAGTTCTATTCCCTTGCGTCACAATAAAATCAACGAGACTACTTGTGGGGGTCAGGAGAATGGGAATTAGCCTATTACTGCAACTGGCAGAAAGTGATGGCTGCAGGGAACAAGACACACAAAAACATTTCAGTGTCTGCTGTTGGTTTAGGGGAGTTCTGACAGGCCACAGTCAAACAGAGCAATGTTGGTATTTCTAGGCTACTGAGCAGTTACATGGGAAAACGCCACACCTACTGGTCACACTTATCGAGAGGAGACTTGGCGTAAGGCTGGGCATTTCAAAGAAGCCTAAGGGAATTATGTGCCATGCAGCCAATGGGAGCTGGGCACCTGGCTCCATTAAAAAGCATCATCTGCATTATTCACACCCCTCTCTTTCACCAGTTGGAGCAAGGCCTTTCTTTCGCCAGCACGCTGCACTTCTACAGCTCCCTTGCCGCACTGGGCCTGACACGGTGAGAGCCCGCAATTCCCGTGAAAGCAAATAGGAGAGCGATCTGCACTGAGAGGCTCAGACTATCTCCCTTCCCAGCTCCCTTGGTCATCGGTTTTCTAGTGATTCGCACTAATAGCAGGAATAACATTACTGTGGGAGGGGCTCAAAACATGTCACATGCTTGGAGCCTCCCAAGCCACCCTATCAGCTAGTGACTGTTACCTGCCATATACACCGTGGCATACGAAGGTTAATTGATTGGCGTAAGATCACCCTGCAAGGCTAGGGCAGAGACCCCCCGATGAATTAACTACTCCCACAGAATCTAGAAACAAACCCACCCATCATGGTAAGAGTGCCTTAGTCGTTTGCCATTGAGTGATAGGGAACTCACATAAGTGACCAGTCGTTTGGTTTGGCAACTACTTCTATCTTCCAGAGTACCTGCTCAGGTGTAAGGGTCGCATCCTATCTGCCAAGCGAGTGCATTTTGGCTTCCCCATGCCTGCAGTGTACATGCCTTCGCCCTTTTAGCCAAATTTCTTTTCATATCCATGTAATAGGCCATAGTTTCTTTAGTGCCGGGTATAATACTAGGCCTCATGGCATATTTGTCCTTGCTACTCGCTCTGTGAGCTAGAGCAGTAATATCCCCATTTTATAAATGGAGAATTGAGGCAGAGAGATTTAGGCACAAGAGTTCAATGAGCGTTAGGTGCCTAAATGCCTTAGAAGTTCTGGGCCTAAGTGTCTTGCCCTCCCCACCCCAAATAGGGAGTCTGTGGAAAAGCTCAGCCTCAAATCCAGATCTACACAGCCCAGGCCTGTGCCTTAACCATAAAACCATCCAGCCCTCGGCTGTAACTAAAGACTTTATCGCAGAGGCATTGGCCAGGCAGCTTGAGTGCTGCATGTCTGACCTGGCACTGGGGCAGAACGGAGCTATGTGGTCATTAAATGTTAGCCCTGCTCTGCCCTTGCTGCCATCACGGCGCACTGGTAGCACAAAGCTCCCCTAAATCATCTTGATGCTCCTAGGTACCAAGGTGATGGGGGTTAAAGTACAGAGAGGGGTAAAGGTTATGGGGAAAACTTTGCATCAGTCATTGATAAAAACATGAAGAGTGCATGAATGTTCCAGTCCAAATGAGATCAAAAATGCAAACAGAGCCCACACCCTCACCACTGGACAGACAGAGACACACACACACAGACAAACAACCTAGTGTTCCTTTGTGCTCCCAGCGCGCGGTCATTGCATAACACAGCAGCCTCCCCCAAGACATGTGTTTTGCTGGGATAACACCAAACACAATTTATGTTTTTCAATAAAAAGCCAGTTCTGCCACTGCTGACTGCTCTCAGATTTCTGTCATGCATTGCAATGCATCTAAGGCCTGACATTATCCCAGCATGCCATGTCTGATGGCTTAAATTAATCCTCCTTTATAATTAACTTTAATTTCCTGCTGCCTTTCTGGGCTTTGCTTCTTTCAGCTTCCCTTTTATCAAAGCCTTTATTTTTTATTATTTATTCTTTCCAAAATATCATTTAAATGGGGGGGAACAAACAAGGGCATTTTATTCTATCACATTCATTCGACTTTTCCTGCTGATCTAATTTTCCAAAACTCTCACCTGTTTGTCACAGCCCCAGCCAGGAAAATAGCAGTGTTTCAAGGTACGTTTCTGCCCCGATAGTGAAGGAGACACTCAAGGGATTTTAGTTGATTAATTTTAAATTAGCTTTTCTGGTTGTTTATAATACTCCTTGGAAGCCCCAGCAGTGGGTCCCACCCTGTGGGCTCCAGACCACCAGTGTTCAGAGGTGAGCCCAGAGGTGGCTAGGGCTCACTCCAGTTGCTATATCACATTAAAGGCAGCTACTTAAACTACACCAAGCACTTTCCCCAATGCTCTTCTCTATGCATACAACTGCTGTGGATGTTACATGACGGAGTGGGAGAGGGAGGTGGGTCAGGGGCCAGAGAGGTGTCCACAAACACCCACTCTTGTGACTCGCCCTATGGAAGGGTTTGAGAACGGTTGCCTAGGCCAGGCTCTTGCCACCGCTTGCCTTGGATTCTGCAACTCCCTCCTTTACCATCGCCCATTCCTAGGTCTCCAGCAGCTGCTGAATGCTGCTGCTCACCCTCTCTCTCACACCCAAAGGAACTCGCCTGCCCAGCCTCAGAGACAGACCTTTTAGAATCCCCCATGTGTTGCAATGTCCTTCCCCTTCTCTCAAGGGCCTTGTCTCCTCTCCTCTCCTCCCTCCACCTGTGTAGTGTGAGCCCCTTCCCACAACCTAGCTGTGCTTGGTGCACCTGCCATCTGGATTGAATAGCTTCTTTCCAAACCTCATCTCAAAATTAACGATAGCCCCCCCACCCCAGTAGCTACATCTCGGTGTGTCCCTCTCTGCTGTTATTACTTAACTCTACAACTGGGTTAGCTAAGGGGCAGATCCTGAAAAGTCTGTCCAGGGGAAGGAACTTACAGGATCAGGGCCTAATGCTGTGAAGTGTTCACAATCAAAGATGCTTTACAGAAACAGGTGTTGAAGTGTAATCCATTTCCTCCCTGAAACCGTCTCCTTCCGCTTTCCTTGCTTTTTGTAGGATTGCTCGTGGCCTGCTGCATTCATTCTTTTCCCATTGGGAAAAGAATGGAAACATTTATTTTGAAAGGCAATCTTTACAACTGAACTATACGAACAGCTGCCTGGGGAGGAGGGAAGAACCTGGAGCTATTAAATACAATTATGTGGATGCAATACTGCTATAGCCACTTCCTTTATGACTCCCACTGCAGGCTTTTTCCTTTTATAGGAACTTCTTTTTCCCAGCATGCCTTTCTGCGGTTAGTCCTTTAAATTTGACAGGCTCTAGAGAGGCCATTTTGGAATCAGCCACTGCTTGCTGTATCTCCTCTCTCTGCCTACTGGTAAGTTTTCAACTCCGGTGATATTTCCTCTTTCTTATTCCTCAGTCTATGGTATGTTCTTATGTCATTGGTTGGGTGCTGCAGTCTGGACAGATCCTACCCCAGGACAGTCTTAGGCTGTAATGAAATGCTGTAGTGCCATCACTTCAAGCTGGAAGAACATGCTGGCTGTTTGGCTTAAGCTTTTGAGTCAGGACTAATGTGTGTGCATGTTCAGTCAACAATTCCATGTGCAGAGGCAGGGGGCAGCTCACACTGGCGAGGGGTGTAGCTGCTGGAGGAGCTGCCACCCTTATCAAATGGTGGGTTTGAATCGTTTTGGTCGATCGAATGGTTAATGTTATAAGAAAAAAAACGTTCAGATCCAGAGTTCTTGCGTGGGGTGGAACAAAGCCGCCCCCTTGCAAGAGCTAGAGCTGACAGATGTGGTTTCCATTTCCAATGAATGCTTTATCCTTACAACGTTCCTCGGCCTGCTAGTGAGCCAGGTTTGTGGGGTGGGGATGTGTCTTCTCCCCCGCCACAGGGATCATTTCAGTCAATAATAATAAATACCACTCCAGTCTCTCCCGTCACTCTTCTTGTTCCTGAATGTCCCAAGGTACAGCTTGGCTCCTGCTGCTATGCCAAAGCGAGATTGTGATGGAGGCCTTGGGTGTATACACACAGGCTTGCTTCCCGCCTAGACCTTCTCATGTTGCCTCTGCTCCCCTCTCCTGCCTTTCCCCCACCCATCTCCAGGGTAATGAGGGGGGCCCCTTTTCACAAACTGAGTCTTTTAGCTAGTTACCATGCAGAGCAGCAGCAGGGGGCTGATAAACAATTTGGGCCTCCTGGCTAGGAACACAGCCAAGCAGCACCGTTCCCATGAACTGATGCCGCTGGCGCTCCCATGCATGGTGGGTACCACAGCCCCGAGGTTACTGCAGTCTCAGGGTGTGTTAACTTCTCTGAGGATTCCAGGTGGGGTTGCCCCCCGGCAAATCCCTGGTGGGCTCTCCCCAAGGGCCGCAGCCCCCTCCTCTTGCACAGAAAGGGGGAGGGTTGCTGCACCTCATGAGGACCCACAGGCGAGGGTGTCTTTCCTCCTCTTTCCCCAGCAGGCTCTGTGCTCTGCTTAGAGCGTTTGACCCACTTACGTTGTATGCTGAAGCAAAACTTCTTTTGCTGATAGGAAATGTAACTGGAGACGGCGCCAACCAATGCCACGACAAGAGCACTGACTATTCCTGCTATTGTCCCAGTCTCGGCGGTGGTGCCTACAAAGCAGAGGAGCGGATGTTGTGCTTAAATACGTATCAGGGTCCAAAATGATTATTCCAGGGATCTAGCTGTTCTCTCCCTTCCCCCAGGCCACCTGGACTATTCTGCACACACTAGGTCTGGCCAGGATTTCTCACCCATAGCCTCTTAAGCAAACTAGTCTGAGAAATGTGGTGGGCAGGGGCAGGGGCCGGGTGTTTGCGTGTGTCCGTCGCTCGGAGATGCCGTGATAGCAGGGTCGGTCTGGGGCTGAACGGAGCTGGGCTTCTGTCGTCGCTACTTACCTGCATCATAGTCGCTGCCACCTGGAAGAAAGACAAGGGGCGTTAGGGCTGATGCTGCCAGCATGGGATTCTCAGTCATTGGTGCCTGTTGGGGATCAAAGCCAACAGCAGTGCTGTTCCTAATGCAAGGGCCTCAGGTCTGCCCCCCATCACCTGACTGAATCCACTGCTTTCAGTAACCTGCGCCATGCCCTGCAGCCTGCCCCAGCCAGGGTGGGAGGAAGGTGGACTCGCCCCACCCCCTACTGCAAACGCATCCTAGAGCTCCCCTGTTCCTAGGACGGCAGGCCAGCCACCTGGGCTCTTGAATACAGACTATGCCCTGGTCTACACTACAGAGTTAGAAACAGCTTACGTCAACCTAACTCTGTAAAAAGCAACAGAGGTCCTGTGGCACCTTTAAGACTAACAGAAGTATTGGGAGCATAAGCTTTCGTGGGGAAGAACCTCACTGCTTCAGATGCAAGTCATCTTGCATCTGAAGAAGTGAGGTTCTTCCCCACGAAAGCTTATGCTCCCAGTACTTCTGTTAGTCTCAAAGGTGCCACAGGACCCTCTGTTGCTTTATGCATTCTTTATTAATTCCTCACACAAGTAGGGGGAT